GTTTGTTTGTTTGTTTTTTAAAAGATAGTTTGAAGATCCACGAAGCAGTGGAGTTCTAAATTTGTGCTAGATGCTGTAAAGGACACAGTAAAATGTAGGCGAAGTTAGACTCTCCCTGGGGTAAGGTTAAGACTTAGAAAAACAGTCTCTATAGAAGGCATTTAATGAGCACTATTAGGTGAGTCACAGTGACTCATTCAGGAGGAGAGGTGATTCTGAAAGTCTTGAAGGAGGAATTTGGCAGAAGAATAATAAACCTGCAGAGAGGCGGGCAGTGGGAAAAACATCGCAAGTTTCAGGCAGCATGTGTGAAGCAGACTGGGCTCTTCATGGGTTGTTATATCGGGAACTCAACATACTTCCTTCTTCACCTCTGAGGGCAGACAGTCTGAACCAGTGTACAGTGTTAATATTTATAGTTCAGAAGTGGCCTTAATCAGTCATTCAAAAGTAAATTTGACCCTGTACTATACAGACCTTTAACTTTATTTGATTAGGTTTACAAAAACCGTTTAGGGATTGATTTACATTTTTAAAGGGCCCCCTGTAGTATACTTCAATACATTTTGTTACAGTAATTGCAGTTTTGCAAACATTTAACCAGAGATTTTCAAGGATCCATGCATTGTGAGAAGCAGGATATGTACCAAATTTAAGTTACTCGTTTTTAAAAGAATGCTTAAAAAAGCCTTTATATTTTCTCCTGATAACTACTTGTAACTAATTTATTTAGGAAATGCTGATGTTTGGGCATTTGCCAGGTTTAACCTCCACCTTATTTTTATTTTCAGTTTTTTTAGGCACATTTATAGTGAGGTTATAGCCAGTATACCTTTTAGGAAGAGTGTACCCAAACCAAAATGAAATGTTTTCTTGTTATTAAAGATCATAGAGGAAGATGCTGCTCTTGTAGAAATAGGACCTCGCTTCGTCTTAAATCTCATAAAGATTTTCCAGGGAAGTTTTGGAGGACCAACTTTATATGAAAATCCTCACTACCAGTCACCGAACATGGTAAGCTGTTTTTGTTTAGTGGTCTTCCGTGTTCCAAAACTCTGGCCAAAAGAATTTCGTCAGGTCACTATTCTTTTAACTGCGAAACTCACTTTGGGTTTTGGTGCAGACAGTCTTGCAAATTACTTTTTTTTTTTTTTTATAATTGCTCCTGAATTTAAGGAAAATAGGTTCCTAAGTTTATGTTCTTGACACCATATGTAAAATGTTTATTCATATTTCGAAAACATCTAATGTGTTTTTTATTTTTTTGTAGCATCGACGTGTTATACGATCCATCACAGCTGCAAAATATAAGGAGAAACAGCAAGTTAAAGAGGCACAAAAACTGAGGAAGAAAGAACCAAAGACTGTTCTTCCACATGACCCCACTGCAGATGTTTTTGTTATACCAGCTGAGGAAAAGCCCATAGAGATACAGTGGGTAAAACCAGAGCCAAAAGTTGATTTGAAAGCAAGAAAGAAGAGGGTTTACAAACGACAAAGAAAAATGAAACAGAAGGTGAACAGTGGAAATACAAAATGAATCAATGGATAACTAATTTTTCAGTTATTTTATATTTATTTTGTATTCAATGTGTAAATATTTTTATTCAGGACTATCTTACATCTAATTAGTGTGGCATTTAAAAGAAAAAATTAAAATTTTGTGGCTTCAGTATCTGTTTTTCTAAATAAAATATCCCTAGAACTCAAATTTCTGTTCAAAGGTTATTTGCTATTATTAAAAATTTAGAGCACTTAAGAGTTAGGCCTGTCCTCTTAGATTAAAACTTTTTTTTGTTTTGTTTGTTTAGCAAAGCTAGATTGTAAGCAAATTTATTGGGTCATTACTAGTAAACATAGCATTAGGCACTTTGAGAGTAGTTTCCGATGGGGAGGTAGGGGTTGACTGGGAGGAAAGAAAGCATCTTAGTAGGTTTGAGTCCCTGAGTCACCAATTAATGAGCCCTTGGATAAGCCAACCTCTGTTCTTGTTTTCTCATTTCAAAAAGGTACAACAAAAATGCTTAGGTTTTGAGAATCGAATTAATACTTTCATTGAAAGCATTTTGTAAGTTAAATTTTAGAAGCAGTGGGTATAAATTACTTATTGATAGTAAAAGGAAGAAATACAAGGCAGTTGTTAGGAGGTACTAGAATAATTGAATTTCTCTGAATTATTTGCAGCAAAAGGATATATATGTAAACTCAGAAGTTGTATAGATACTACATAACTAATAAAATTAAGTCATGCGTGTGGTCTGTCATCACTTTAATTTCACAATCATTTTCCCTTGTCTTTTACAATATGGTTAGTAATTGTACAGTATTCTACTCTATAGCACATGTCAGTTTTTTATTATTAAGTAGTTCAGTTACATATTTTCTTGTATAGGTGCTTGCAGTAAATATTTCTATATACAAATTATTTTGTACAACGTTCAAATATTCTAGTACCTCCTAACAACTGCCTCTAAGTAGTAGGACTCAGGTCAGAACACTAAAACGTTCTTATTGCTCCCCTAAATATTATACCTCACCAGGAGTTAGAGCATTCATTTTCTTGTACCTTTGCAGTGGTGAAATAATCTTTGTCTCTTGGATAGTTAAAAAATACTGTTTTCTTGGTGTTTTTGGTTAGGTAATGGTTCTTTTTTTAAGACTTCTTGTTTTGGGATGTTGGTTATTGTCATTAATTTTTCCTAATTTGTAAGAGCTCTTATATAGTAAGTTCATTCTAGACGTCTTTTCTGGTTCATCACTTGTAGTTTAATTTTTTTTTTTTTAATATAGACAGGATGATAAATTTTTCCTCATTCCATTTTCTCTTAATTTTCTACTAAAAAACGCCTTCCTGAGACTATAATTAGGCTACTTGATCTGAAAATAGTCTAAATGATGAGGCTACTTGAAGTCTTCTAAATTATGCAGGTAATTCAGGTCAGATTTTCTTGATAAATCTCACCTTATATAAAAATAACTTCAGGATTTTTTTTTAAACACCCACGTCTCAAAATTACAGGTTACAAACAGTAAGATGTGAGTTTGAGTACTTTTTGATGTGTGTATGGCAGAGTTTCTGTGGGCTTTCCAGTTTAATAACTTCATCAGTTTCCACGTTTTCCTTGCCCAAAATTCTCTTTCACGGTCATTTATATGAATGCTTCATTTGGTTGAGAATTCCTCATCACCCAAGTCCATGTTCATTGAGAAGCCAACCATTTAATACAGATGCTCCTTTAGACTGAAATTTATTTCTAGTGTAATAGTTGAATTTTCTATGCAATGTTATAGGCAAAAATAGATACCTTGAAAGAAAAAGGCAAGTGACTCAGAGGTTTAAGCAAATAAATGTAACTGAAGGAAGAAAATAGTTCTTTCTTACTCCCTCCCCACCCGCCCCCAACACAGATTCTCAGATGGGGGAATGCTCCAATGTTTCCCTGCATTCAAACGTCTCAATTCCTATGCACTGCCAATTTAAAAAACAAGGTCGTATGGTATCTTCTTTCTTTGGAAAACAGACCAGTGCACAAGTCCAGAGGTTTGATTGGATAGTAGTGTGTGGATACGCTTGAAGTTTAGAGTTGGTTTTGATTGTGCAAGTAGAGGATATATCTTCCTAAACTTCCAGCACCCTAACTTTACAGAAGTGTGGGGAACCCACCCTTCTCCCATACGTGATTTACAAATAAAGCCTGCTCCTCGTAGCTGATGTATGTGAACATTCCATATTACAGCGACATATGTTGCTGTGTTGGTGCATTTTAATGAGAACTAGGTTACTATTTTGACATCTTGTCAAATTGAAACAGGTGTACAGATCTTCCATCCTGTATCTGTTCGATCTGGAAGACCTGGTTAAATACTATGCTTTAACTGCAATTCTTAACCTAAAACCAATCTTGGAAATGTAGGATTAGAAGCCAGAAAGTTTAATGAGTGAAGGAGAGGGGGTCAGTACAATTTCATCCATATTGGTGGAAAAACATTTAGTATGTTATTTTAAGTGTTGATGCTTCTCAAATGGTTTTAGTTCATTCAAGTCATTTTATTTGATGTTATTCCTATGCATATTGGTCAGAATGGAAAATAGTCTAATTAAATGGCAGCTGAAGAGGATTGAAGAATTTAAAAAAAAAAAAAACGTGTTTTTTTTTTATTGTTGAGTCCAACCGAGTTCTGGCATTGATTAGTTGCGAAGGCTTGAGCAAACTACTGGACTACTTCCGGCATGAGCGCCTCACCTGTAAACACGGGGCGCAGTGAAGACATTATCACCAAAACACCACAACCGGATGTGTTCCACTGTTTTCTGCCACCCATTTCCCCCCCAGGGCGGCCGCCTGGCTGGTGCGCTCCTACTGACCGCCCTCTGTGCCCCTCACAATGACACCGCGTGGCCCCGCCTCCCTCCGCCCTGGCCCCGCCTCCTCCTCGACTGGGCCCCGCCTCCCCGCCGTCTCCTCCTCACCTAGGCCCCACCTCCTCGCCCAGGACCCGCCTCTCCGCCGCCTCCTGGTCTAGGCTCCACCTCTTCCTCCAGAGGCCCCGCCTCTCCTCACCTGGGCCCCACCTCCCCGCTCAGGCCCTGCCTCTCCGCCGCCTCTTCCTCCCCGAGGCCCCGCCTCCCCCTTCCAGAAGCCCCGCCTCCTCCTTCCAGAAGCCCCGCCTCCTCCCGAGGCCCCGCCTCCTCTCCGCCCAGCCTTTTCCGGCGCAGAGCCCGCCCCCCTCCCATGCGGAGCCGCGGCCGCCGGCGCCGCCCCCTCCGCGCATCCGCGTGCCGCCGCCCGCGCTGCCCGACCCCGCCGCGCGCCTCCGCCGCCCCGCGCCGCCGCCGCGCTCGCTGGCTGGCCCGCTGCTGGCGTCCGGCCGCCGCCGCGAGAGAGGACAGCGAGGGCTGCCACCCCCCCTTCGGCCCGGGCCCGGGTCCCTGCCCCGCCCCGGGCCCCGGCCCCGGCCCCGGCCCCGGCCCCGGCCCCGGGCTCCCGCCCGCGCGGGCCATGAAGTGTCACTACGAGGCGCTGGGGGTGCGGCGCGACGCCAGCGAGGAGGAGCTCCGGAAGGCCTATCGGAGGCTGGCCCTGAAATGGCACCCGGGTAACTACCGCCGCGCCGCGCCGCGTCCCGCCCGGAGCCCGGAGCCCGGAGCCCGGAGCCCGGTCGCGACCCCGGGGCCCTGCGGTCCTCCCGCCCTCCCCGCCCTCCGCCCGCCGCCCCGGGCTGCACTCCGGCTCCGGCGCCCCGTCCCTTCCCAGGCGCCGCCCACCGAGCCCGCAGCCCCGCACGGCCGCCGGGGGACACACACCGCCTCTGGGCCTCCCTGGCCCCCAGCGCCTCGCGGGCCCCCGGGTCAGCCAGGAGGAGGTGCCGGGAGGTCCCCCCGGCCCGACCCCGCCGATCCCCTGCGGCTCCGGCTCCGCGTGGCCCTGAACTTGACCCCGGAGTCCCTGCTCCTTCAGTGCAACTTAGGGCTCCCGTCCCGCTGACATCCAGGCAGCGGCCCTGGGATCGCTCCCCCCGGTGAAGTTTGTGTGGTGTTAACTCGGAAGTGTGCTCCGTCGGGATGTTTTTCACGGTTGTAGTCCAGGCCTGTGTGACTTGTGTGGGGTCTGTGTGACCGCCCAGGCTGGGAGCCAAGGCAGGCGTTGAAGCTCAGCATTGCCAGGTTGATAAGGGGCTTGCTGATCGATAAGCACCGATCCATAAGCGCCATAAGCGCGGCTCTGGTCTCCAGGACCTGCAAGCCACTGCAGGTTCTGAAATGCTAAGACAGAGGCAGCCTCCGTCCTGCAGGGAAAACATGCCTTATGCGCAGAAAAGGGTTACATTCTGGGGCAAACAGAATAGCAGGACAGATGGAGTCGGTAACGGGACTTAGAGGGTCCCTGGTGACGCCCCAGGAATTCAGGAGGAGAGGGAGTTTGTCTGGGTCCTGAGGGGGTGAGGCTTCCCCTCGGAGAGGAGCCTGGGTCCCGGAGGATGGAATCGGGGAAGGGCGAGTGCGTGATGGGCAAAAGGGGTCCAGTGGACAGCTTGGCTGAAGTCTGAAAGTATGGGCTGGCTTAGCGCGTTTGGCTCAGTGGACAGAGACAGGAGCGGCCCCCGCCTGCTGGCACATGCGGGAGAGGAGACAGGCGATGCCAGTCTGGGGAGAGAAGGGCCGTGTGAAGGCAGATAACAGGTGCCTGTGAGCACAGGTACCCGACCTGGCCTGGGTTTGTGTGTTTTGCGGGTAGATGGGCCTCCCCAGAATGGACAGAGAAAGACAGGTGGGGAGGGGGCAGGGGAGAGCAAGCATGGCAGAGTCCTGGAAGGCCAAGGTCTGGAAGGTGCGGTGGACTGGACTAAGGGTTGGGTTTTATTTTTTTATATATATTTTAAATATATTTTATTTATTTTTTACAGAGAGGAAGGGAGAGGGAGAGAGCTAAGAAACATCAATGAGAGAGAAACATGGATCAGCTGCCTCCTGCACATCTCCTACTGGAGATGTGCCCGCAACCAAGACACATGTTCTTGACCGGAATCGAACCTGGGACCTTTCAGTCCGCAGGCTGACACACTATCCACTGAGCCACACCGGTTTCGGCTAGGGGTTGGATTTTAACCCAGGAGCATTGGTAAGCCAGTGAGCATTGGAAGCAGGGGCGAGAAGATAGGTTTGTGTCTTTCCAGTATCTCTCTGGCTGCAGTGGGGAGAGTAGGTTGGAGCAGCAAGCCTGGAGGTCAAGGGGTATTGTAGGCCTCAGGGTGACCACCAGGACCTGGGGATGGAAACTGAGCCAATGCCAGGATTCTCGGGCATAAGTGCAGTGGTTGGGAGGTGAGGAGTCGGGAGGGGAAGAAGGTGGGTGGCCCGTGGATCATGAGGGAATGAGAGTTTGTCTTCTGGTGAGTGAAGGAGCAGCGGCCAGAACGCCCGCACTCGCACAGACCTGCCCGTGAAGGCAGTGGCCGAAGGAGTCTGAGAGGGAGCAAGCAACCTCCTCAGGGAGCCTGGCCTAAGAGGCACGGTCCATGGAATGTTCCAGAAGGCACTGCAAAAGGCTTGGAAGGGAGTGGAAAAGAGCATGGTGGGTGAAGAGAAAAGCACAAAGGATAACGTGAGAATTAAACTTAATGGTTGGCTTTGCAATACCTGTGGCTTTTGCACTTGGTGAATAATACATCACGTGGGCTCCCCGTCTTTTAAATTAGGGCTTTTAAACTTCTTGCTTTTACGCTTTTGGATCTCAGCTCAACCTTCCTGTCAGCCAGGTCGAAAACAATTATTTAAGAAGAACGCTTCAGGAAGAGATTAGATCTTATTTTCAGGTGGCAGTTAATGGGTTTTATGCACTCAAACGCTTCAGCTTTCTTCATGCTTCTTTGGGGAGGAGAGAAGGGCGTAGGAAGAGGCAGGACTGCCAAGTTCAGTGCTGATTAAAAGGTGAAGGAGAGCCACCGCCTGCCACTCCCAGGCAGTCACCTGTTTTGTTCGCTGCCTTTTTCTGCCATTCAGCTTCCATCTCAACTCTGCTTTTTACTTACCTGACAAGGTTTTTATTAGTGATTTGATGAAGACGTAGAAATCGTGACTGTTTTTAGCTGGACTCTCACCATCAAGGCATGATAAGATTGTGTTTAGCTGCAGGTGACAGGAAGCTGACTGCAGTAGCTAACCCAGAGCCTTTTTATTAATCTCAGATACCAAGCAATCCAGAGGTGTCCCATCATGGTAGCTCCAGCTGCTTGATGAAACGTTCAGACGTGCTCCATCTTCCTGACCAATAGCTTGCGTCCTTGCAGAGTGTAAGCATTGTAGTCTCAAAGAGATGTTTATTGCGTCAGATGGGCTTGTGCTGTGGACATGGATGTAGACTTGCATTGTATTCTCACAAACAAGTAGACTACAAGGATGGGGATTTCTGTCCTCCTTTCAGTTCTAAGGGACCATGATGTATATATATAAAAGCCTAAGCAACCGTTAGGACCTGATATCTGGCCGGTAGCTATGACGTGTACTGACCACTAGGGGACAGATGGTCAATGCAGGAGCTGCCTCCTGGTGGTCAGTGAGTTCCCACAGCCAACCTCCCATGGCTGACCAACCTCCGGAGGTCCTTCCCCCTGATGGTAGGCCCCGAAGGGCCCCAATTGGAACTGGGCAGGATGGCCCCGATTGGCCCCAATTGCAGGCCAGGCTGAGGGGACCCCACCCTGCGCATGAATTCATGCACTGGGCCTGTAGTTTTAAAATAATATTGAGAGCTTTTTGTGTTAAAGCATCTTAGCAAAGAGAGCCATGGCCAACTGCTACCTTGAGAAAGTGTTGTCACTGTTAGTTGTTGAGCAGATGACCAACCACCTGAAGGATGTGGGATCCATGCGATGGTACCCAAGAGGAGGAGGCAGGATGCCTTGTCTAAGGCTGCCAGACCATTGTCGGGAATACACATTTGTCATATTTTCCTCTAGCCTCTTATATATGGCAACTATGGAGCTGCAGCTTAAAGAACTGCTGTGCTCTACAGTGGATTCAAATATTTTACTTTGAGTGTATTGTCTATCTATTACTATGTAACAAACCACCAGAAACTTAGGGTGGAAAACAACAAACGCTGCAAACATTCATCATATGGACTCACGACTTCTGAGGAGCAGAGTCTGGGACAGCTTAGTTCGGTAGTTGTGGCTCAGGGTTTCATAAGAGGCTGTCTTCACTGTCTGGGACACCTGTTTGCAAGCTCACTCACGTGGTGTTGGCGGAACTCAGTCGCTGGCTGCCGTGGCCAGAGGCCTCCGTCCTCACCACATGGCTTCTCCATCGGCCACCTGGGCGTCTTCATGCCATGTCAGCTGGCTGCTCCCGGAGTGAGCCCAGAGGGAGTGAGAGCCCACAGAGAAACTGCTGTCTTTCATCAGAACGTTTCAGAGTCACCATACCGTGCCATCCACCATGCCGCTGCTCACGCCTGCTGCTGCTGTTGGCCAGACACACCACCCCTGGGGACCACACAGGGTGTGATGCCGGGAGGTGGGGGTCCTGGGGGTCGTCTTGGAAGGTGGCTGCCATCCTGAGGCTAAGATGCTTTCTGAATTCCAAGGTTAAGGAAACAGAGCTAAGAGAAGAATAATTAGTATAGCTAATTAAAACTTTATTTTGGTATATGTTACAGGTTGAAAAACTGTAGAAAAACTTACAGGTTGTGAACAGAAAATATAAGCTAGCACTAAGTAATAGTTCTTCCTTAATATTAGACTAGAGGCCTGATGCACAAAGACCCGGGCAAGAATGGGCCTGCCTTCCCCTGGCTGCCGGCCGCCTTTCCGCCTTCCCATGATACAGGCGTCCCACCCCACCCCCAGCCGCTCAGCACCTGTGTATGCAAATTAACCCACTATCTTTGTTGGGTTAATTTGCATACTCCTAATTGACTGGTGGGTGTTCTGAAGGTACGGTCAATTAACATGTTACTCTTATTAGTGTAGAGATATATATATATATATATATGTATGTATGTATGTATGTATGTATATATTTTTGTTCCTCCTAAAAAAAAGGTGCTCGCTATTCAGGATTTTCCATTTGTGGACCCCAGCGTGAGTGCTCAGGGTGAGTGCTCAGGTGAGTGCTCACGGTGAGTGCTCAGGGTGAGTGCTCGATTGCTCAAGTGAGTGCTCAGGTGATTGCTCAGGGTGAGTGCTCAGGTGATTGCTCAGGGTGAGTGCTCAGGGTGAGTGCTCAGGTGAGTGCTCAGGGTGAGTGCTCAGGGTGAGTGCTCAGGTGAGTGCTCAGGGTGAGTGCTCAGGGTGAGTGCTCAGGTAATTGCTCAGGGTGAGTGCTCAGGTGATTGCTCAGAGTGAGTGCTCAGGTGAGTGCTCAGGTGAGTGCTGGGGAGGCACCAGGCTCAGAGAAGCATGTACTTTCTACTCGGGTAGACACTTAGTTCTGATTATTAACCGATGTCCAGAACCTCTTTGCTTTCCCCTAGTTTCCCTTTGTTTTGCACACTCTTCATGTGGTTTCTGGCGTTTGTGACGGGTGAAGTCCCTTTTAGATTTTGTCCTCCTTTTTTGATGACTGAATTTCCGTGATTTTATTTTCACAGATAAGAATCTGGATAATGCCGCAGAAGCAGCTGAGCAGTTTAAGTTAATCCAAGCAGCGTATGACGTGCTGAGTGACCCTCAGGAAAGAGCGTGGTGAGCAGCACACTGTCCCTCCTGCCCTGTGCATTCTGTTGGGAAGAACTGTCAGGAGAGGGTCTTTAAAAATTTAAATCATTAATGGTTTTTGGTGTGTTCTGAGACTTCTGTCACCTACTCATATAAAATGCAGTAATTGAGCAGGAGGGAATTTCCTACTCCAGCTGTGATTTTATAGCTCATGATGCAGAAAGCTTGGCAATGAGATAGTTTAACTTTGGTACTTAGGAAGTGACTTCGCATTAAATGGGGTCTCTTTGGTGTATGGCATTTAATTTTCTGATGCCAGACAAGGAAGCATGCTGATTTGTCTTTAAAAAAACAGATACAGCCCTAACTGGTTTGGTTCAGTGGATAGAGCATTGACCTGCAGACTGAAGGATCCCAGGTTCCATTCCGGTCAAGGCATGTACCTTGGTTGCAGGCACATCCCCAGTAGGGGGTGTGCAGGAGGCAGCTGATCGATGTTTCTAACTCTCTATCCCTTTCCCTTCTTCTCTGTAAAAAATCAATAAAATATATATTTTTAAAAAAATCTTTAAAAAGTAGATACAGCCCTGGCCAGGTTAGTCAGTAGGAAGCATCATCCTGATACACCAAGGTTGTGGGTCTGATCCCCAGTCAGGGTACATGCAGAAATAAACCAGTGAATGCATCAATATGTGAGACAACAACTAACTCTGTCTCTTTCTCTCTCTCTCTCTCTCACTCTCACTCATCATTTAAGATAAATAAAATCAGTGTATTGTTTTTTTTTAATGAACACATATAGTGTTTTAATGCAAGAGTTGTAATATTTCCCCTACAACTATACTCTATGAAGAAATCGCATTAAGCTTCTACATCTGTGACAGACACTTTTATTAAGGAGGACCTGGTCATTGCGTATGGTTTCTGCACAGGCTCTGTGCTGGGCCTTTTGCTGCAGCGGGAGAGGTGCTGAGCCGGCTCCACCTGCAGGCCCCGCTGCTCGCTCAGCGCGGGGGCGGGGGGGGGGGGGGTGCCCCTGCTGAGAGCCTGTCCTCGGGGGCAGTGTGCCCGCGGCTGGCCTCCAGAGAGAAAGGCCGTAAAGGACGTTCTTACAAAATTACCTTTTATATGGAAATCACTGAGAGAGGCCCACCTTATTTTTCTTCCTTGCCCATTCCCTCCGCTGAGGAACTGCACTCAGTCCTTCCGGTGCTCGGACGTGGCTTTGAAGTCTAGCTGCTCACAGGCTTTATGATTGTGGACAGCACGCTGTTTAATGTCACAGCGCCTCAGCTTCCTGTTGCAGCAAACTTGACAGCGTTATTCTGTGGGTAATTATGTGTGTGTGAAGCTACTTCATTGTTTACGGAAACAGCAATAGTGATTTTGGTTCATGCTACTCAATTCTCAGGTCCCACATGTGGAAGAAGTCTGTGGACAAGATTACGTCCACCCGCCCTGCTCAGTGCAGCCACCTACGGGGAGTGGCATGGAAATTCCCTGACACATGAAGTCCCTTGTTCCCATGGGCTAGTGTTGTATATGCTGATGATGGGCTGGTCAGAGGTTTTTTGTTTTTTTTTAAATATATTTTTAATTGATTTGTTTACAAAGAGGAAGGGAGAGGATAGAGAGTTAGAAACATCGATGAGAGAGAAACATCTATCAGCTGTCTCCTGCACACCCCCTACTGGGGATGTGCCTGCAACCAAAGTACAGGCCCTTGACTGGAATAGAACCTGGGAACTTTCAGTCCACAGGCTGATGCTCTATCCACTGAGCCAAACCGGTTAGGGCCTAGTCAGAGTTTTAAACAGCAGTTTTATGATAGATTGTCTTCTCATGTTGAAATTTTTTGGTTGTGGGTTGGACACATTAAGATGGACTACAATAGCAATCTGGCTGTTTCCAAGCAAGAAGTCCTTTTGAACTCTTACGCATTTGCCTTCCCTGACACTGCTCATTTCTTCGTCGCTCAGGTACGATAACCACAGAGAGGCTCTGCTCAAAGGCGGGCTCGCTGGGGAATATCAGGATGACAGCTTAGACCTGCTTCACTTCTTCACCGTGACCTGCTACTCTGGCTACGGAGACGATGAGAAGGTAAGGCGCGGACTCTCTTATCACTTCGTACCGAGCACATAAGTGAGACCCTCACATACAGAGAATTCTGTAAAAGTGAAACTGTTCATTCTGAAAACACAAAAAACACCACCACTGCCTTCTTATTTAAAGTCTCCGCATATTGAAAACCTCCCATTGGAATGGAATGTATTTATACGGACGGAGTTTGGGGTTGTAATTCTTAGCAGTAAAGTTTTTTGTGTTGTATTTTAGAATCTCGTTCTGTGATTAGCCCATAAAGAGTTAGGAATTTGTGTTCCTGTTGCCTGTGTCAGGGCTTTTACGCGGTGTATCGGAACGTGTTTGAACTGATTGCGAAGGAAGAGCTGGAATCGATGCTGGAGGAGGATGCGGAGGACTTCCCGACCTTTGGGGACTCCCAGAGCGACTACGACACGGTGAGGATCAGTGAGGATCCTGCTCGGTGGTTGCGCACTCAGCGTGGATCACTGTGTCTCCCTGTCCTGGTTGTTTATTTTTAAAAATCGCTCCTCCTGTTACTTCCTCCCTTTCTCCCCACTAGCCTTTTCTGTTTTTACCTTTGCCTTCTCATTGACTGTGGGCTATTGCTGGGTGCTATCGAGCATCTGGTAGGGCTCAGGAATCTGGAGAAAGGTAGACATGAAATATTAATTTGGAAGGCATTTTGGGGAGCCAGAGTTTGCCCTATAGCAAAGCAGATATACATATCAAAGGCAAGGTTCAGTATGCAGTAGGCATGGTCGGTTGGGGGAAATGCCCTGGCTGTTCAGCTGTTTGGCCAGCAGAAGGCAGTAACATGCAGATTGAAATGCCCTCAGCAATAATATATGCAGATCTTCAGTTTGGGGAAAAGCTCTCAGCCATTCCAGTAGGCAGCATGTGTATTTGGGGGAATGCTTTCAGCCTCGCTGAAGCTCTAGGGTCCACCAACCTTTTGATGAACTTACTGCATTTATTATGACCGGCTGGAATTAGCCTCCAGCACCCCATCCCGTTAATGTCCTCATAAATTCACACTGAATAGTGACTGACTTTGTTAAAGCCTTAAGAGGATTGTCGTCGTTGGTTAATAGTGATGTTTTAAATGCGAGGGACGGAAGACGCTCCGCACCCTGACATCGCTGCCGTACTAAGGCAGGTGTGAGCAGAAGCGAGCGTTTGCCGGCTTTCTTACCGCCAGGTGGTCCACCCCTTCTACGCTCACTGGCAGAGCTTCTGCACCCAGAAGAGCTTCGCTTGGAAGGAGGAATATGACACCCGACAAGCTTCCAACCGCTGGGAGAAGCGCGCCATGGAGAAAGAGAACAAAAAGACTCGGGACAAGGCCAGGAAGGAGAAGAACGAGCTTGTGCGGCAGCTGGTGGCTTTCATCCGGAAGAGGGACAAGCGGGTGCAGGCGCACCGCAGGCTGGTGGAGGAGCAGAACGCCGAGAAGGCGCGCAAGGCCGAGGCGATGCGGCGGCAGCAGAAGCTGCAGCAGGCCAAGTACGGGGGCCTGGGTCCTCCACGGCGGTGGGGTCATCCTGACATACAGTGCTTTCACCCGTGGAAAAAGCGTTCGGCTGTTTCATTCCTGAGGCCCCAGCTCCCGCTCTGCACGAGGCCGCGCGCTCAGGGCTTCTCTCCCCGCAGCTCTGGAAGCAAGTGCTGGTTGTGTCCTCGCTCCTTTGTGGGTGCGAGCAGACCGGCCACGGTCATGGCCGTGAATCACATGTGCGGGGATTTTTTTTTTTTAATATATTTTATTGATTTTTTACAGAGAGGAAAGGAGAGAGAGAGCTAGAAACGTCGATGAGAGAGAGAAACATCGACCGGTTGCCTCCTGCACACCCCCCACTGGGGATGTGCCCGCAACCAAGGTAACATGCCCTTGACCGGAATCGAACCCGGGACCTTTCAGTCCGTAGACCGACGCTCTACCACTGAGCTGAGCCACACCGGTTTCGGCATGGGGCGGGGATTTTAACCACCACCCAGGACTGGTCTCAGTGTATTCGCAGCTAGTGCCTTGAGAGTGCTGTTTTTGAGTTACTGTAAAAGCTTTGTGTCTAGAGCATTATAGCATTCTTTAAAAAGCGAATTCTTAAAAATTCTTCCTGCCCCACCCCTCATCTTTTGAAAATTAGCACTTAACACGTACAACTTAACATCACTTCAAACCATTTAGTAAGTTGCTAAGAGTTATATGTCTCCAAACCCATTATCTAGTCAAGCAATTAGAACCAGCCAGGACAGCTACAGATTGACAGTGACTTTGCCCTTGAACTCAGCGCAGGTGTGAAGGCGGTGTGTGTGTGTGTGTGTGGCGGGGGGGGGGGGGGGGGGGGGGAGGGGGCCGCCCCTGGGGTGGGCTCAGAGCTGAGGAGCCGGGAGCGCAGTGCGGAGACGGGCTGTTTGTGTCTAGGCTGGCCGAGCAGTACAAGGAGCAGAGCTGGATGACGATGGCCGACCTGGAGAAGGAGCTCCGCGAGATGGAGGCGCGCTACGAGAAGGAGTTCGGAGACGGCTCCGAGGAGGACGAAGGGGAGGAGCAGGAGCCCAGAGACGGGCCGGATGGTAACTGCACGCAGGGGGACTCTGGGAAATGACGTTTCTCTCCCGGGGGCACTCAGGGCTCCCAGGGCCAGGGAAGGGGTAAGACAGCTGATGGGAGCTCGGAGGGAGGAAACCCTGGGACCATCGTCCAGCGGCTGTGGCCGGAGTTTCCACGTCTGTTTGGTTTTACGTGAAGCGGGGACTCTGGATTGTTATGTGCCATCTCCCAGTTTTTCAGTGTGACAGATAATTAACATGAGAAACAGTACTGTGTGGACCAAGGAAAGGCCGTCTGTTGAAGCAGGCTGATTCTGGTAATTTGATTAACAACTCTTTTCTGATCATGTTTTAACATTTTGTGCTTCTGGTCTATAATAATAAAAGCGTAATATGCTAATTAGACCGGGTGTCTTTCTGGACGACCCTCCCGATGAAGACGGGGCTGTGAGGGACCCTGGTGCCGGCAGCAGGGAAGGAAGGCTCGTCCTGCACGAATGCGTGCATTGGGCCTCTGGTATGTTGATAAATAAGTGGACATACTGACAGGTGTGACGTGACTGCTGACTGGTTATTTTAAAAAATGCAGTTAGGTAGTAGGTCACGTTTTCATGTAGCTCTTTCCAGAAAAGCGGATGTTTTGCAGGAGCTTTTATAGATAGATCCTTCATCTCGTTTCTGACTTGGTAGAAGGCACTCGGTGCACTGAAACACCTACAGAAGTGCTTTTCAGACTAATAAACCCCGTGATAAAATGACAGACTTTCAATCATTCAAAATGAGTAGGAAATGAATGTTTTATAATGAATAAGATGTAAAGGGAAGATGTTAGGAAAATTATAAAGCACTCAAATGTGAGGGGGTGTAATTATGTAGCATTAAGTAATTTATAACATGCTTTCACATACATGATTTTGCTGCTTGATCCTCCCACAATAGCCCTTAAATGTGGATTTTGCTCATAGAATTGACTGCATTTCCTTATGAAGAAACTAAGACTCTGAGAAGCTATGGCATATGCCTGAGGAGCATATGATCATTTTAAATCCAGATTTTGGCTTCAAATTAACTATTTGATTAATCAAAGTTTATTTCATGTATATGATATATTGAAAGTGTATACAAAACTAGTAATACCGTGTACTGAACTTTGGATGTATTCTGATCACTTAATGATTTTAATGATACTGTCCTTCAAACCATATTAACATCACTTTTAACATTATTTCCTATAAATATAGAATATGGTATTGTGCAAAGATTTCATTGCACTTTTTAATTGGTTAGATTTTTGGACTCTATCGATAGTAATTATTCCAGTGTAATATGCTATTTTATGACGTCTAATAATGACAGAATGTTGTAAGTTAAGTTTATTTAAGCATTTAAGAATAGATTACAAGCTGAAACCAGTTTGGCTCAGTGGATAGAGTGTTGGACTGCGGACTAAAAGGTCCCAGGTTCGATTCCAGTCAAGGGTATGTACCTTGGTTGCAGGCATATCCCCGATAGGGGGTGTGCAAGAGACAGCTGATAGATGTTTTTCTCTCATCGATGTTTCTCTCTATCCCTCTCTCTTCCTCTCTGTAAAAAATCAATAAATATATATATTAAAAAAATAAAAATAAAAAGAATAGATTACAATTATATAAATGTGTTTGTACCAAATCTTGCTCAAGAGGTAAATTAAAAACACCTCGTTGAAAAAATTGGTTTGTGGTAGAACTATGGACATTTGGTATTCTGAACCTTTGCTCACTCCCAGGGTTCTGAGAATTTTTTGTCTTGTGAGTAGACTTATAAAAAGAAATAGAAAGTTAAAGGGATTTTTTTTCATCTCTAGTGCTGCTTTTAAAGGGTCAGCTCGGATCCTGTGCCGTCATTGTTGGTCTTGGTAAGGAAGTAAAGGTTTTGTTAGTGTGTTCTCCTGGGTCAGGCTTCTCACAGCAGCCTCCTTCCTGCAGGGAGGGACAGCGACGAGGCCGATGGCGTGGAGCTCTATGAGGGACTGTACTGCCCAGCGTGCGACAAATCCTTCAAGACGGAAAAGGCGTAAGTCCAGTCTTTGAACTCACCCTTTCTTTTGAGGCAAGCGTACCGCTTCGCAGTCCTGAACGAAACGGAGATGCCGCTGGTGATAGCCCCCTCCTCCTCGGCCGTCCTGGGGAGCAGATAGTTTGTACCAGCGGTAAGCCTGTGGAACGATCTGTCATGCCAGCATTCCTGTGGGCACTGCTTTGTAAACGTGTGCGCGGTCTTCAGAAAGAAATGTGCTTTTTTTTGGCAAAGAAGGTGTGGGCAGAGAGGCTGCCCAAAGCTCGAGATCTCGGTTGATGGCAGACTCACTCCCAGCCATCGCTCCGGACAGGCCGTCTCCCACCAGCACGGGAGCTCCACCAGGGCCCCGCTGGGGACATTGCTGAGGGCGGGGGCTGGGGTGGGGCTGGGCTTTATTATTGTTTTTGTTCCTTGATCTCTTTTTTATTATTTATTATTATTATGTCTAAAGCTTTACATATGTCTCCTTTTTCCCCAGTTGTCCCCTCCTCCCAGCCATTCCCACCCCGCGCAAGCCCCCACACCCCTGTGTCTGTGTCCGTTGGTTATGCTAATGTGCGTGCACACAAGTCCTTTGGTTGCTCTCTAACCCCTTCCCCCACCATTTGTCTCTGGATCAATCTATACCTGTTCATCAAATAATGTTGATCATTCTATCCCACGTATGCGTGAGATTACGTGATATTTATCTTTCTCTGATTGGCTCGTTTCCCTTAGCATAATATAGGTACTACACCTGAGGGAGAAAGAGCGAGGGGGCGGGGGAAAGCACAGGCCTGCTCCCAGGAGAGAGGGCACGGAGGCCTGACCTTACGGAAGGGTGGGGACAGTATTAAGATGGGTACTGGTGTGAAGAGAGTAAAGAATGCGGGGGAAATGTAGAATCAGCGAGGGGAAAAGCAGCAAAATACGTGCAGAAAAGAGAAAAGGGATCAGAGGATGGAAATGAGGATGTGGGGGTCAGAGGGGTCTTTCCGGCTGAGCCTGCGGGAAGGCCACGAGGCAGTGAGAGGAGTGGGCGAGGTGGAGCCTTAGGAGCGGGCAGGAACCGGCAGCAGGGAAGGCCGTGTTCAAAAGCCTTGTTTCTTTGGAAGGAGCACCGAACTTACAGACCAGGTGCCAGGACAGGGGCACCCCTCTCCCCGCTGCTCAGCTTCCCCGTCTGCATGTGCTTGGGCTCTCGCTCACACAGGTCTGAGTACGTGACACGTGCAATGCCCTAAGCACATTTAAAAATATATATATTTTATTGATTTTTACAGAGAGGAAGGGAGAGAGTCAGAGAGCTAGAAACGTCGATGAGAGAGAAACATCAACCAGCTGTCCCTTGCACAACCCTTATTGGGGATGTGCCCGTAACCAAGGTACATGCCCTTGACCGGAATCGAACTCGGGACCTTTCAGTCCACAGACCGACGCTCTACCACTGAGCCACACCGGTGCAGTGACAGCTGGAGGAAGTGGGTGCCACTGACGGCACTTTGCCGTTTCCTGCCGTGCTCCTCCTTTCTCCGGTGGCCCTTAGTGTCCTGTATGGCATCTTGCTCACTTCGGTCTGGGCTCTGGTCGAGGGCATGTACTGTTACATATGTCACATCGTCGTCGCCGTGTGGCTTTCTGCTGTACGCCAGAGCCTCAGTCCCCCGGGGACCTGCCTGCTGTCAGTCTGACTCAGGGTTTGTCAGGGTTTATGATTCATTATTGCCCTTTTCGAGCTCCAGTTTCCCCAGCAGCGGGCAGTGAGCGTCCCCCAGCCCGCTCCCGTGTCCTTGACGGGCCAGTCATTTTGAGCACTTCCTTCTGGCACGAAATGTTCCCGGTTTTCCGAGGAGCCTGGTCTGCAGGAGGTGTTAGTGGAAGGAGAGCAGCAACGGAAACAAGCAGGCGGGAATTGGAACAGGCGAGAATTGGAACAGGCGAGGACGTTGACACACGAGTGTCCTGCTTTCTGTCGTATCTGCCCTCACGGCCTACGTGCCGTCACCTCTGTGTGTGTGGTGTTACAGGTGGTCCTGGGACAGGGGCTCACAGGGTACACGGGTCTGAACTCGCTTTTAGGGGGTGGGAGTGAGAAGGGGCGCCTCTGGAGAAGGTGAAAGGCAGCTGCCGACAGAAGCAGGAAGAGGTCCACTCTTCAAGGCCTCACCTCCCTGTCTCCAGTCCAGGTGCCGCCTCTAAAGCTATAGTTGGTTTTGTAATTTTCAGTCATCCAGGCCTGTAGCAAACTGTGATTAAAAGGAAATAGAGGAAAAAGCTTGAGTTTTTAGAAGTAGAAAATAAAAATAATAGAGAATTTGAGGGGAAAAGAGGAAGATCATACGAAAGGACAGAGGGCGGGGGATTCTGGGTGCAGGAAAGAGGACAGTGCTGGTTCCCAGGCCGTAGGTCTAGGAAGACGGTGCTCTCCCCATGGCCACTGCGCTCTGCCTGGTTGATCAGAACGGGGTACAGTAACTGGGTGGCATCCCCGCCGCGCTGGGCACACCTGGCACAGGCCTGCGCAGTTACTCAGGGGCTTGTCTTGCAGCATGCGGAATCACGAGAAGTCCAAGCGGCATCGGGAGATGGTGGCCTTGCTGAAACAGCAGCTGGAGAAGGAGGAAGAGGGCTTCTCAGGGTCTCAGATGGATGAGAATCTGTGGAATGCCAACTCTGAGGAAGAGGCGGAGGACGCACCCAAACAAAAGTACTTGCAAAGGTTCCCTAGGCGTACCGTCACCCCGAGCTTCCGGTGGGGGCTGCTCCACCCCAGACACCACTCTGCTTTGCTTGTATTTCCTGCTGTCTTCTGGCGAAGGGAACTTTATAGTATGGAAGTGGGTAAAGACCTGATGTCAGTATGATTTTACACACTATATTAGGACTATGTAATTGATATGCTAATTACTGTCCGTTGAGCCACTAACAATATTCTAAAATAATGTGAACATTTTCTTTTCCTTTTAATGCTTTATGATATTTGTAATTTTAATTTTTTTTATTTCTCTCTGTATCACTAGTCCTTCATTGTTTTCCCTTTTATTTTATAAGTCTTTATAGAATCAAGAATTTGACATTTTGATTTATATTTGCTCTTAGGCTTTCTAAGAAACAGAAGAAAAAGAAGCAGAAACCAGTACAGGTATGTTAAAGTCTCGTTAACATTAAATAGCAAATAGAGAGTTGTCATGCTCTTGTTCAGCATCATCTGTGTTAAAGAGAGGGACTTTTGCTCTCCTTAATAATTTGCTCTAATTTTATGTCAATTGTAAAACGATTAAAAGGAATTGAAGATGTTTTCTTTTTTAAGCCCCCCCTTATGTGTATGCAGCTAATTGTTTAATTACTGTTGTCAGGGTGTGTTACAGTTTTGCATGTGGGATTCTCCTAATACTAATTAGCTGAGTGACCTTATTTAAAAAATATCTGGACATGTGACACCTGGGATTTTTCATTGTATAATCAAGTTTGTTCTGTTGACAACATAATGAAAATCTTATAGAGGAAACATTTGGTTAGAAACTTGCAATGGTTGTGGTTATTGAAAGAATGTTGACTTACTCAGAAATTTTGCTAGTTTAAGTATTTAATTCTGGGGTCCAAATTCAAGAATTTGGGATCTGTGTGGGATAGGTTCCAGGACTCCCCAGATACCAAAACCCATGGATGCTCACATCCCTTAAATAGAATGGCATAAAGAGAACGGTGAAATATCAGAGAGGAAGAACTTCATGTTTTAAGATTATCTGCTTCTTTTTATTGCCTGAAGATATATCTAGGGGCAATGGGACATTATCATTATTTATTATAACTATTTGGCTGCATGACATAAGAAGCTAGTATTATTATAGTATTTATCTTGTAATGCACATGTGTTTATAACCTAGAATTATGATGATAATTTCAATGAAAATGGAACAGGAGAAGGAGTAAAAGTTGAGCCAGAAGGTACCAACTTAAATCAAGACAGTGCCAAAGAATTGAAAGCTGATCCCCAAGACAGTGTCAGTGTCACAGAGGCTGGCCAGCTGTGTGAGGACCCGAAAAGTGAAGCCAGCAGGTAGGCCAAAGAGCATGCGGTTGTCAACATCCTTAACACTGGTGGAGAGGATGTCTTTTTACACACCAAAGAGAAGCTTCTTCCCATGACTGCGGGCTGAAGTGGCTGTACCGGTCAGTGAGTGTATATCCAGACACTGGGTACAGATGGAGGGCGTTGGAGAGAATGCCAGAGGACACACAGACATTTCCGCCCTGGCCGAAAGCAGGAAGCGGTCACTTGGACCCAGTTTTGATCCCTTATCCCGCTGATTTCATATTTATTCCTGCGTCAGTCGTCCCTGACCTCACGTGCGCACAAACTGCCTGCGAGGCTGTGCCCCACCCAGCTGGCGCGTCCCCGCCGGAACCCGCCGCTGGGACAGTTGCTCTCTGTTCAGGACTTGGTCCACCTGACTTCACTGCTGAGGAGTGTCAGGGCCGGTGTGAATACACACGCTCTCACACACACAGTCTCCTGCTCTTACACACACACACACACACACACACACACACACACACACACTTAGTCCCTTAAACAAACATACACACACAGTCTCACATTCACATACTCTCACACACACATACATTCTCATACATACACACAGTCTCGCTCAAAGTATCACACACCTATACCATCTTTCACACACACACACACACACACACACACACACACACACACACACACACACACCGGTGTCCATTGCCTTCTGAGGGCTCCTCTGATGCTGGTAACCTAGTGAGAAGTTCATTAAAAACCTGCATGTGTACAAAGTACTTTAAAAAAAATAAAGCTTTTCGATTGGAGCTTCAGGGATCAGCTGCCCTCTTTCCTAACGATAATTGTTCTCTGGGAATGTTACCCCAGGTGCTCCTGGATATGTTTGTGGCATATGAGTGATGATACTTAGTTAATTACTGACTTTAATCGGCAGCCTTTGTGCCATCATGTCCTTTTTTGGTGCTTTCCAGGCTGGCTGAGTCCTGGTAATGTGTCACCTCCAGTCAGCATCTTCCACTGGTGCAGCGCCCTCCACTGGCACATTGCGGGCTGGGTTCCTGGCCACAGGAAAGCCTCTTGTAACCTTTTTGCTGTCCCAGATGGGACAGATTGTCTGTCTGTGAGGAGTACTGGTTGGCTGTGACCAGTTTGCTTCAACACCTGGGATATTAAGTGCTCTGCTTTTTAATGAAAACACATAGTATGAAAATGTAGAGAATTTGACAGGTCTCGTTTTAGCTTATGTTTCAGCCATTTTAGGTAAATTTCTTAGTTTTTGTGACAAATCTGATATAAAATGTGATCTCTAAAGTTGCTCTTTAAAGCTGTTTATTTGGAATGTTGAAATTAATTTTCATGATCGTTAAATGAATGAATTAGCCATTAAAGTGCATGTCGTTTGTTTGAATCTTGGGAGCAGAGTGACAATGCTTGGATCATGCTGAATTCTTTCATTTATTTGCAGTGTTCCTAAACCCCGGGGAAAGAAAGCCAAAGATCCGAAGAGACCCGTCAGAGCGCCTGCTGAGCCGCAGGCCCTGGTAGGCCATTCCGTCTGTGTGTGAGGCTGTACGGAGTGTGAGCACGTGGTGCAGAGTCTTAGTTCCATTTCCAAAGGTGGGAGTGTGTTCGGCGAGCCCTCTGCACCTGCTAGAGGTGTGGATCTGTCAGCACTTCTCCTGGACAAAAGTTGAATTTATCCATGTGCCCTCTCATGGCTTCCTTTAAGTGGTGAGAAGCAGATGGGAAATACCAGCTTGTGTGACCAGTTCCTGTTCTGGCCGCTACTCTGAACTCTAAAGCCTTGGTCTAGTCAAGGGGGCCACGCCATGGCACTTCTCAGGACCCGTAAGGTGGTGACAGTGCTGGTTAATGGGGCTTAACTTTCAGGAACTGCTGCCCCTGTGGAGCCTGTCTTGTGCTGTCCGTTTTGTTGAAAGGTCTTAATTTTGCGATGGTTTTTATTTAATCTGGACATGAACACATACTGCTCTCAGCTAACACTTGCTTTTCTTGTTGGTTTTCCCATCTCAGAGTGACGTTCCGATCAGCTGTACCACCTGCCGCAGAGAGTTCCCCTCCCGGAATAAACTGTTTGACCACCTAAAGGCCACGGGGCATGCGAGAGCGCCCGCGTCGTCGTCTTTAAACGCCGTGACGAGTAGTCGAACCAAGAAAGACAAACGCAAAAACAGATAGGCCTCCAGCGCCTTTTCTCTCTGACTGTCTCTAGATCTGAAACCAAAAACTGAACTGAAATCACCTAAAGAGTTAAAGTTTCCGTGATCTGCAATTGATTGCATTGTGGAAGATTATTTTTTATCTTGTAAAAACATTTTTCTGTTTAATATATATATTTTTAAACATTTCATTAGTGATTGAATTCTACTTTGCCATCTGAATGGGCTTGAATATTTCAGAACAGGTAAATATTGTAAAGTGCGTGCTCTTGGTTCCTGCTGGCTCATGAGGACAGAGATGTACAGGGAGAATTAAATTATTTTAACATATACAAATGCACCTGTTTTATTTTGTGAATTTCTCATTAAGTGTTTTCATGTGATTGAATGCCTTTGTCAGTGATTCCAGATTGTTTTAAAATCGCCATAGATTTATTTTTCCACCTGATACCATGACTCTGGTTCCAAATTTAAAATTACTTCTAAAGAACCTATCGTTGATTCTGTATTTTCCCCCTCCAGGACAATGAAAGATAGAGACTATTTGAACATTTATGTTTGTGTTCCAAGAACAATGTCTCTCCAAGGTATGGCTGTGCTGATTCGGTTTGAGATTTTGCTGGTAATTACCAACATGCAGCCTGGCTTCTCGCTCTGATTTGCATTGCGGAGGTGGAAGCCAGTTAATTCACAGGGCGCTTTCTCCTCAGCGCAGTGACAGCTGGGAGTGTGATGGGTCAGTGTAGCAGATGGTGCAAAATTTATACGATCCATTAACAAGGGATATTCTGCCTTAAGCTTCTTCATCACTGTTTTCAGAAATGTCTTCTTTTTTTTTTTTTCTTTTTTACATCATTCAATGGAGAAAAACTTTTTTTGTTTTTAAATCGGGACTTTTTTTTTTTCTTTTTCTTTTTTAATATATTTTATTGATTTTCCACAGAGAGGAAGGGAGGGGGATAGAGAGCTAGAAACGTCGATGAGAAACATCGATCAGCTGCCTCCTGCACACCCCCTACTGGGGATGTGCCCGCAACCAATGTACAGGCCCTTGACCAGAATCGAACCTGGGACCTTTCAGTCCACAGACCAACGCTCTATCCACTGAGCCAAACCGGTTTCAGTGAGAAAAACATTTTCAATGGAAGATTTTTGTAGAAAGTTGATATTTATGCCTTCTATTTAGTAGCAAAGATGAATAATAAATCTAGAGATACTGGAGAATCATCACAAGTGAGTGGTCAAACGTGCCCAGTGATGAGTCAGTTTTAGGCTGGATTAAATAGGCAGGCAGCTCTTTTACTTTTCTCCCCTTCTGTGTCTGTCTAACATCTGTCACTACTTCAGCTGTTTTCCCCCTCTTTCTTGCTTCCTTCATGGGAAACACGGGTCATTTTTCTGTCTTTGGTCTCTTTCTCCCAGGCTCCATCTGAACACTCCACCTTCCTCTAACCTGAACTCGATGAATTGCCTGAGGTTACAAAATAGGAATATGAATGCCCAGGCAGGCATGTTGGTCACATGCTAGCGTGCAGTAAGAATAGGACACCTTCTTGAAAGGCGCTGAGTGTCCCACAAATGCCTTCTAGATCTCCCTTGCTTGCCCTGTGCCCACCGTGCAGGCATTGAATTGTTTCTGCCCCGTGTGAAGATTGACTATTGTCACTTTTATTCTGATTGACAAAGATCAGCCATAGTTTCTAAGGGATCTTCCTCACTTGTGACTGGAAGTTAGATCTCATTGCTGACCCTATGTGCATGATGCTGCAAAATCAGTTCACTTCTCACTCTTCATTTTCCTTGTTTCTGACACAGTTCTTACCATAAGAGTATTGTCCCCACTTATCATGCAGGGTTATTCTGAAGGTCAGATCACATATAAAAGTGCCACAGTTGGGGTTCTCTAAAGCCCAGTGAGACTATTTCGACACAGAAGCATTATCATTGGGCAAAGTGCACCACAGAAAAGAGGACTCAATCAAAATGAAAAGGCCTTAGACCAATAGGCTGCATAAGCAAAAAGATGGGCCGGGCCTGTGGGAGATGCTTTGCAATACATGTAACTGGCCAAGGGTTAGGGTCCAGGATACATTACAACATAGGCACCTCTTACACACAGCGACCTAAGGACAGCACCCGTTCATGCAGCACTTCACACACTTGGTCTCCAGACCCATCCATGCTCGTAGGAGTGAGCACCCCGAAGGGTTTCTTTGTGGTGTGATTATTGTTTACTCATTAGAAATCAAAGCACTAAATTTAAAGGATGTAGTATTTAAAACACATGTAACGTAACAATTACGGAAAACAGCTTCATGTTACATGTTTGAAAACCTCTGTAATGTCTAGCTTATCAGGAGACAGTGGGTCCGCCTGTCTGCTTCTGCAGTCAGTCACTGTTCAAGGATATGAAGGAACTGGAACGGCACACAATGGGAAGGTGGAAAGGAAGGACTTTGTGGAATCCTTGCCTCACAGGCCCTCAGGCCCTCAGACAACAGAACGACTGCATTTGAAAAACGGATAAAGGAAAAGCTTGCTTGGCCAAACAGCTCATCACTAGTGATGAGGGAAACGTGGTTGAATCATTGATTCCTGCTTTGACCAAAGGTAGAAGGTGTGAGAAGACAGAGTGCTGGTGAGGGTGGAGGAAGGACACATTCATTTCTCTGGGAGTGAAACCGGTGCCTGGATGGTTTCTGAAAGCTGGCCCAGCAGCCCGAGGTCATGCCTGTATCACTTCTCCCTGACCACAGCATGGGCTCCCGGGGCCCTGAGTGGCTCCTGGCCCGCCCGCCCTGCAAAGGGAGGCTCAGTGGCTGCCGGGTCCTCGGAGACTCGTGCTGCTTCAGGCCGAGAAGCAGGGCTGGCAAGGACCCTGTGCACGTGTGCCAGGAGCTGACGTGGATGTTCACAGCTGAGCTGTCTGTATCCGGGAAAAGATGAGACTCCCGAAATGTCTGATCAAGAAAGTGGATAAATCGTGGCCTGTTTACCAAGTACCAAGCCGTCAAGCAGCTCAAATGAGTGAACTTGGGCTGTAGTGTCCGTGGCTAGCCCTTGGAAAAATACTGACTGAGCTGCCAGAAGATGAAATATATACTATTTATGCAATTAAAAAGTTATTTATAAAAAGAAAATATAGACATCAATAGAAAACACATCATTCAGAAAAGTAATTCAGGAAGGAAGGGAGAGGAACACAGTGGGGGTGTCAACAAAGGACCTCATCTGAGAGTGTGTGTATATATATATATATATATATATATATATATATATATATATATATATATATATATAAAGATTTGAAGGAAAATGTTAGCAGGTGTTAATTCTGGGTGGTGGGTAATGAGCGTTGACTGCTATGGTTTTCATGAAATACTTCAAATGTCCAGAAAAGTACAAATCTTGCGAATGAAATACACCTGCGTGAGAGGGGAGCTAGGAGGATTAAGACCTTCATTTGGCTCCTGGCATGCTCCATAACACATAAAGGCTGTCACTTGTCTTCCTCAATATCCACCCCCTTCTTCAAAGTCTGATCTTCAGTCGGGCTCGGAGCCACCTCGAAAATTCCCGTCCCGGCCGTGGACCTTGTCTTAAAGGCCAGTGACCCTAATTATGCTCCAGGCGCAGTGCATTTGTACAGATAATTACTTTCTGTGAGAGCAGTCAGGGCGCCCGCGTCATTCCTGTCTTCCGGACACCATGTGCCTTAGGAAAACAGAAAAGGCTCCAATTATCCTGTGCCCTACAAGCCGTTTGAATGTCACTTAGAGTTTCTAACCATTTCAAGCACTGGAAAGGTCACAGTCTCTTTTAGCATTTAGATAAAATGGCATATAGTTTATATATCTTTTGGGGCACCTTTCCTCTTCTCAAATTGAGTAAGAGTTCAGGCTTTTGTGGCCCAAGGATAACAGCAGGGTCAGCATATTATGAGGCAGGATTTCCTATCAGTTCTTCCAGCAGAGGAGTCGGTCTCTGAGGACACAGGGAGCTCCCTGTTCCTGGGACTGCAGTCCATCAGAAGGGCCGCAGAGGATGCTGGGCCAGGGGAGATGCCCCGAGGGCAGCCGGGTCAGGGCTGGGCTGGGCTGGGCGACCCGCAGTTCTGGAGAAGCCAAAGGCTGGATGGCAGGCCTCCTGGTAGGCCCATGCCAGCGTCCATCCGTCACAGCGACCTGGAAGCAGTTTGCAGCTCATTCTACTGGCAGCCTTATTTTTAGGGCGCCTGTGTATGCACCGATGTGATTGTTCTTAATTCCCACAGCGATGCTTTTGTTCTGATCTGCCAGATGGACAATTTGGGAACTACTTTTTAAAAAAATTATCTTTATTGTTGAATGTAATACGGATGTCCTCTTTTCCTCCCCTACTGACATCCCTCCACCCTGCTCCCACCCCTCTGTCCATGGCCTGTGCATGTATGCATGTACATTATTTGGTATTAAAAAAAAAAAAAAAAAGGAATATTGAAGGTAGAAAGGCTTTGAAGGAAAACTGAGAAGCAAGGGTTGGCTTTCTTGCTCACTTCCTGACCCCACAATTTCCAGCAGCAAAAAGGGGCAGGACGTTCCACATAAGGTGACTTATGGGAACAAAGACCCGTTGTGCAGGATGTGGAAAGAATGGTGGGAGAAAAGCTGGAAAACGAAGTGGGAGCAAGTGTGATGGCCCTTGGATTCCATCATAGCTGGAGTTTGACTTTGTCCCACGGGCAATAGGGAGCCCCCAGAGGCCCCAGGAGATGAGAGATGTGCGCTTATCTAGCCTTGTAGTCAGTGACTTTGCTATCAGTGTAGAGGCTGACAGGGAAGGAGTCCAGGATACCAGTCAGGAGGCAGTTTAAATACTTTGGAGAGATGATGATGGTCCAAGTTAAGGCAGCGTTGGTATAATTGAGTCATATTGGAAAAAGTATGTTGTAGCAAGTATTCATGAGACTTAGTCATACAAAAGGGAAAAAGATAACATGGAGAAAAAGAATGACCCAGTGTGAGCCTGAGACACAATGGG